CCTAAAATCAATTTTTTTTGTAGTTCTCTGGAAGTATTATTCACTAAAAAATACTGATTGTACTTATTCCAAAAAAGCTTTTTGTATTTGAAAAACTACGAAATTTCTTTTTTCTGCATCCATGTTTTTACCAGATATTTATGACAAATTTATCAGTTATCTAATAAAATTTAAAAAAAAAAATATGATAGACATCTTGACAGTTACAAAAAATTCTACAGAAATTCTGGTAGTTCCAGTAATTCCATATAAGTAATTTACAAATAATTTCAAAATTCCAAATACTATAATAGCTTTCATACTATTAAGTCTTGGTGATCTTATTTTATTAGTAAGAAACGGAAAAGATGTATTAGCAGAGTCACTCTGTATAAAATAATAATTTTGATTGCATCTAGGTTTCTAAATAATTCAATTAAAATTATTTCACTTATTCCAAAAGTATTTTCGTCATTCCAAAATAATTCCAGTAATTTCATATAATCTAAAAAAAATCGTAAATGTACCAAAAATGTACGGTAGCCTAGTGTGAAGTCTTGTTAGTTTTAGTTTATTAGTAAGAAAGGAGAAATTTTAGTAGAGTCACCTTGTATGAAGTAATTGTAACACCCATGTTTCAAACATTTCAATGTATTTAAGAAAAAAAATCAGTAATTTTCGATGTAATAACTCACCTTCATGCGTTGTAAAATAAAATATGAGGTGTCAACAACATTCCGCGAGTTCTAAATTGTCTTTTTTATGTTGTTTATAACCGTCCTCAGCATGGGGCAATTAATATATCAATATGTAAATAAAAATAAAAGTGTAGAAATATTCAGGCGCCGGCGTCAGAGTCGGTGATTGTGTCATAAGAATGCTGTTATACCTAAATCAGGGTTCTTGACGTCTCATCCTCTCGATTATAAATCAAAACCAATCAATCATCACATCTCAGTGTCTTTTTTGGTCACGAAGGCGCCACGTCCCGAAACCCCCTTGCAGCGATACCCTCTGACCCAATCTAAATCTCATAAATAAGATTTTAGGGGTTTTTTGGTGCCAACAGCGCTGATTTAATGGGTCTGATGGCATCCAACATGTTGATGTTTTTTGACTGATAAGCGGAGATTATTGAAAAAGTGGCAATAAAATTGTCGTAAAATAATTCAGATTGAGCCGGTTTATTGAGCAATTTGTTAATAATTAATACGTGACGTCTGCGATTCATGAAGGAGTCTTAAGGGGGTCGCGTGCGTCACTCATCGCCAGGCGGCGCTACGCACACGAGCGTGGGCCCCAAAAATAAACGACAAATTTATAAATTTGGTAACGGGTGATTATTTTTAACCGATGCTTGGAATTTTCGGAATTTCGAACGAGTTTCGTATTAAGAGATTATTTACGAGGTGGGATGCACGACTCTTTATGCATATTTGGGACCGGTTCGCGGGGATTATCAGCGCAAACGGCCTCGAGTGCCACTGACCTAGGTCACTGGTCCTGCTCGGAGGACGCACACAGAAAAAAATGGAACATTTCATCCAAAACTTGAGAAATTAATCAAAAATTTGCCTTGTCACAAAAATATTGACTTTTTTAATAACTAATTTTTAAGCATCGAGAATGTATAGAGTGTCTAAAAATGTTGGATCAATTGTCTTTTTTAAGTTACACACACAGAAAAAAATTGAGAAATTAATCGAAAATTTGCCTTGTCACAAAAATATTGACTTTTTTAATAACAATTTTTACCATCGATAGCTACACACATAGAAAAAATTTAAACATTTCATCAAAAACCTGAGAAATTAATGGAAAATTTGCGTTGTCACAGATTTTGACTTTTTTAATAACTATTTTCAAGCACTGATGATGTACAGAGTGTCTATAAATGTTGCTCCAATTGTTTTTTTAAGTTATAAGTTGTTAAATTTGCCTTGTCACAAAAATTTTGACTTTTTTAATAACAATTTTTTAAGCACCAATGATGTACAGAGTCTCTACAAATGTTGAACTAATTATTTTTTAAGTTACACACAGAAAAAAATAAGCATTACATCGAAAACTTGGGAAATTAATCGAAAATTTGCGTTCTCACAAAGATATTGACTTTTTTGATAACTATTTTTTAAGTATCAATGATGTAGAGAGTGTCTGTAAATGTTGGATCAATTGTTTTGTTTTTAAATTACACAGAAAAAATTTAAACATTTCATCAAAAAGATATCAATCAAAAATTTGTTTTTTTGTCACAAAAAAAATGACTTTTTTAATAACTATTTTTAAGCATCGATAATGTACAGAGTGTCTGTAAATGTTAGATTGATTGTTTTTTTTTTAAGTTACACACACAGAAAAAAATTGAACATTTCATCGAAAATTGGGAAATTAATCGAAAATTTGGGTTGGCACAAAAATATTGACTATTTTTTAAACATCCATGATTTACATAGTGTCTATAAATGTTGGACCAATTGTTTTTTTTAAGTTACAAGTTAAATTTGGAAAATAAAACTTTGTTATACTTTTTATAAATAAAAAGACTTTTTCGTTAAATTTCCTCGTTTTTAAAAACTAGATACTTTTTTTAATTAATGTTAAAATTTTGCAGAAGCAACGTTGTCTACGAACTGTGTTCAATATTTTTGAGTACTGCTTTTAAATATGATATGTATTTGAATCTTATTCTTTTTTTATTAAAAAGCTAAAAATTTAAAATAGCATATTAAAATTGTTGAGGAACAAACGACTTCCTAAAAAATGACCTTCCGTAACAAATCTTTTATAACATTTTAAATAAAAACTTAAATAAAACAAGAGCAAAAATCAAACTCTTGCTATCAAATAAATAAGCTGGAAGATCATTACAAATTTTGTACTCTTATAATTTAATAAAACTTTTGATGATTTTATCAATTCCTTAAACTCATACTAAAAAAAGTAATAACTAAGAGACGAATAAAAAATATTGACACGATAAAAGAAATAATTAGAAATAAATTGAAAAAAAAACTGATTACTATCCTAGAAGGTAAACATAATTTTAAAAATCTATCGATATGCCTCATTGTAATACAGAGTCATTATAAATGTTTGTACTCATTGGCGATGATTTCTAATTTAGCATTTGTCGTGTGTTGCTTCATAATAACATGTACTTAAAGTTCTTATTAGATCCTCTTGGTATGGAAACGATGAAAAACTACAAACATTTATAATAACCTTGTATATTTAACTACCTTGCATAAAAGTAAAAATCCATATGTGGCAAAAAAAAACAATAAAACATTGAAATAAAAGTTTGTAGCCCTCTCAAAAATTATTTTAAAAATATCTGGACCGAATTTTTGCTCAAGCACCACCTGTTGACTCTAGATAAATGGACACATGCCCAACTCATTCCGTATTTACGTTTCTGGCTCCGTTATCGGTTTAAAATTTAGATCAGTTCATGTCGATATGTGTCAGATATAGTCATGTCAACCTCAGACTTGTGTCTCCTTTATGCCATCAAAATATTGTTATCGGTGTCGTGTTTCCACAACAAATCGCCCTAAACGATCAAATTATCGCTCATAAATGTAGCGTGCTGTAAATTGTGTAAATACATCGCTTCTGGATCAACGGTTACAAAAACATCAACTCATAAATCGAGTTAAATATATATTTTACACGCGAACGTCCGAAATTCTTATACATTCCCATTGCGGCTCTAAATTATTTGGAATTTTTGACGTCGCTGAACGTAAACACAGGAGTAAATCAATGATAATCACGTTGGAATTCCACTTATTCACAAAATAAATTTTATGACTCGGCGAGATTTTATTTATTAATAGATAGAACGGACGCTTCCTCCGCCTTCTCTTTCACACATTAAAAAACACACACACACTAAACACTTCTATTTTCTCCGTGATTTATTGCATTTTTGTGGCGCATCCACCATTTTTAACAGACCTGACACATGTTGATTTTTAGCAAACATTTTAATGTCACCTTGTTTGACTTTTGCACGAGCTGTATTTTACTGCCATGATAACGCTTTCAGGATAGATTATACAAACTTGGTGATTTTCTTCCGAAAGTGCTTACTTATTAAAAAAATGAGATAAATAAGATTGAAAAAAATTCGAAATATCACTGCGAGTCTTAAAAACGCACCACCACATGTAGGGTATCTTACAGAGTGGTCCGCGTTTTGCTTCCAAATGTCTAAAATCGTTTTTCATTAATTGATAATCACATACAGAGTCCGCCAGAACTCGCGCCCCAAGTAAGGTAAGATACCAGAAACATGAAAAATGCTAAAAAAATTATATCTACAGTATGTCCCCGGATTGAGTTTATAAGAGGAAAAAATTTTTTATCTTTGATTTTACGCCAAAACTGCAAAGGCAAAAATTTTTTTGCTTTACTTGAAACCAGCAAATCTGTAATTAAAACTTCATTATTCTAACTCAGTAGAAAGAAAAGTTCATTTTTCTCTTGATTTTGGACTTTGAATAATTTTTCTTTGCTTTTTAAGTACTATCACATTCGCGGTTTTATTATTTTGACAATGATGTCACTTTGACAAATGAGTTTACGCAAGTTAAATAACAAAAATGTTTGTGAAAAACATAATTTTAATAAACAGCAACTCAAAGAAACAGCTTTAAGGTAAAAAGCAAAGTCAGTTTTAACAAGAACTGTCATTATTTAATTAATAAATTATTTGACAAAGTGACATATTGATGTCAAATAATTAAAACCGCCAATGTGATGACTTAAAAAGCAGAGAAAAATTAACTTTTCTTTTCACTGAATCAGAATAATGAAGTTTTAAGTACAAATTTGCTCGTTTCAGGTGAAGCAAAAAATGTTTTTCCTTTGCAGTTTTGGCCTAAAATCAAAGATAAAAAAATTTTTCCTCTTGTAAACTCAATCCGGGTACATACTGTATATGAAAATTCCGAAGTTATGACAGTTTAAATTTTGCACTTTGACTCTATTTATTTCTGTTGAAAAAATAATTTTCCAAGTTTTTTTGCAACAAGCTATTAGAAGAGGAAACAAGAAACCTGTATCATCCTAAATTGTAACTCTGTTTAATGTTAATTGTGGCTTTTATTGGCAAAATTTTGGTACCTTTACTAAATAATTATAAAAAAAAAACATATACAAGATCATCAGTATCATTAAATAGACATAAAAAAAGTCAAATGTCTAAGTTTTTTCGACACAGATTTTTTTTAAACATTTTTTTCATGTTCTTGGTATTTTACCTTACTTGACACCCCGTATTTTATAATTTTTGACGCATTTTTACAATGTAGTGTTGCAATTTCAACTATTTTTTTCAATGAAAAGCTTAAAATTAATAATAATTTTTGTTTTAATAATAAATTACAAAATTTACAATAATATCTTATCAGGCCCGTACCTAAAAATAATTTTTAGGTTGGGCGCCCAAAATTTTTAGTGCAGTTCTGTGTAGTACATGTTATTTTTTTTTACTTTAACTAACGTTACTGAAAGGTTCCGAATTTCAATTAAAAAAAAAAAAAACAAAAAAGTACGCTTAATCATATTAAAAAAATAATGATATATGATCTTAAAATAATAATAGTAGACACAATACACCCATACAAATATAAAATAAATAAATAATTTTTAGTACCTCTAATATTACTCGAAAACGAATAACGATAAATGAGCTGTTCAAGGAGTTTTTAGAAAAATGAAATGAAAAAGGTATGAATTTTGTGCGTTATTTTTGGTTCAGTCTGTATTATAATTTTTTGCGTTATTATTTCTAAAGAAAGTTGTTAAAAAAGACAAAGTTTTAAAGAAGGGTTCAGCCCCCTAGCTACGGGCCTGTATCTTAGTATTATTTTTGTTTTTCTTTTTTCTTTGTCTTCTTTCTTTACAGAAACATTAAAATGTGTGTATTTGACATACAGCAACCGGTAGATGGCACCAGCAATGTTACCAAAATATCAAACATGTCAAAACTAAACATTTGAATATTTTGACACTTTTGCGTCTACCAGCCCGCTGATTTTCTCGCATTGACCGAGAAATATTTCGTTGGGTCAGCCTGTATATCAAGTAAAGTAAAATTGATGCTTACCTTGTAGACAATTTCCATAAAAACGTAACTCCACAAGTAGATTCACATTTTTTGTCGATTATTCTAAAAACGTGAAAGTAACTTTTGCAATAAATTTGCACTTACCACTTGTGAAATGTTTTGACAAAATTAAGTAAAACTGAGCACTAGTTGTGTGCAAGGGCCTCCGCCCCGTAACAGTTGCCGTCTTCGGCGCCAAGCTAAATGAGGAAGTGCTGGCAGTCGCTCGTCGGGCGCCACGTCCTCCTCGCAATAAATCTCGTTCTGGCCGTTGGTTCGAACGCAATGCATCTAATTATCTTGGTGGAGTTGCACACACGTTGTACCCCGGGGACACCGATAGAGATGAGATATATGGCGGGCAGTGGCGCCGCGCTCCACTCAAGAAAATTTAGGCGCCACCGTCACTCAGTCACACATTGACCGGCTCAAAGCCAACACCAAGGGCCTCCTAAAGTGATCGATGACAACCTTTGCCATGTCGGCCCTGCTGCTCTCCATCCTGGGCCTCTCGGTGGGCATTCCGCACTGCCCCATGTGGAAGGAGATCGCCCCCTGCACCTGCCGCATGGACTCCACCAAGCTCACCACGATCCACTGCGATAAGATGACCTCCTACGACCAGGTGGTGCGCCTCCTCAAGGGCCACTTCGCGCCGGAGGACCGCGTCTCGCTTAAGATCTCCTTCAGCAAGCTGGACGACCTGCCCTATAGGGCCTTCAACGAACTCAACATCACCATCGAGAACCTCAAGCTCAACCACGACGGATTGGGGTAAGGGTGCGATATGACAAATTGACGTAGTGACAAATGACAGGCGAACCAAACAGATAACCTCCGACCTTCTCATGTTTCAATTACAGCGTCGCCTGCTTGATTTATTCGGACGATAATTATCGCTGGTAAATTCATTTTCCCGGAATTACTCTTTAATGACACGATATCGGGTGATCAAGTGTCGACTTTAATGAATGAATTTTGGGACAACAACTTGTTCTTGGGAGCAGTTTTTACGGACAAAGTCGAAGGCTGATAAAAATTTTCGCAAGAAATCGCCGATAGATTTGACGGTTCTTCAAAGCGGACTTAAACGGTCAAGTTTTCACTATATTGACCATAATTACATTCATTACATTTCCTTTTGGGTCTATTCGGAATTCAGACGTGGCAAAATTGAGGATTTTTTGCACAAATTCGGACAACCCTGCAGGATAGTGGCAATGTTTTTCATTTTCCCATTTTGTGCAAAATTGCTATGTTTGACACAGTCCTCATGATTTATTATTGACAATTCAGCACTTACTATCAATGTTTTTGCCTTTTTTTATCAATTATGTCAGAAATTGATACTTTCCTCGGAATTAGAAAAGCCTACTTTATTTGTTATTATTTTTTTTTACAAATAATGAATGCTTATTATTATTTTTTACCTAATAATTAAGTGTGTTTTAATTTAAAACCGCAATTTGTCATTTTTCCCAATTTGAATGGCCCTAAAATAATCAGTTCACATTTTTGAGATTTTGTTCGAACAACAAATTGACAAATAAACTAAATTAATTAATTAAATTATGAACAGCCCTAGAAAGTCTAATTATAGACATTTAGGGCCAGTTTAATAATCGAATTTAAAGGAACAATTAATTAAATGTTGTTTAGAATGTGCTGATTACGCTGGACTTGTTGACAAAAATTTCACATTCCAAACCAGCATTAACTTTAAAGTCCGTTTAATTAATTACGAAACTGGCGGTTATTGTCATTATGAGATTTTTTTGTTTTATTATGTTACATTTTACCAATTAATTGATTTGATATATTCTTTACAATTTTTTACATACTTGGACAGCCCTAAAACAGTCATTTATAAATGACATTTTGACACTAATTACATTTTTACTAGTTTTTTTTCCATTTCTACAAATTTGGAAAATTCTAAATTAAAGCAGAAGTTTATAGTTATTTACGTTTTCAGAGTTGTTAAGAAGGTCATAACGACCGAGGGAGTAGTTTGATACCCGACGAACACGAGCCTTAATCCTCCTGTGGTCGTTATGGCCCTTAACAGTACGTGGTTCGTTTTCCGTCGTATTAAATTCAAAAAAAAAATCAAATTTTGAAAATGTCAATATTTGAAGATTAATCTGTCAAAAAGCCAGGTGTTATAGCAAAAGTCGGGCTGTTAAAACCTCTTAACAGTCCTGTGTGATACTAGGATAATATTGACAGTTTAACGATTGTAAATTGTTGAATGTTACACACTTATACCATAACAACAATTTTATTAATCTCAAATAAATTTGGACAGCCCTTAAACAATCTAATCTTTTGACGTTTCAACACTCTCTAATTTTTTGTTTTACTCGTATTTTCTAATTTTTGTTATTTGTGTTGATTTCAAACATTGTTTTATTATATTTTTCCAAATTTGGACAACCTTAAAGCAATTTAACACTGACATGATATTTTATTTATTTATTTTTTTTAAACTTCCTAAATATTTTTATTGTCATTTTAACATTTCCCTCAATAGGAATTTAAATTTGACTTCTCAAATTCTAATAAAACAGGAATTTGACACTTTGACAGTTGTAGAAGTTATTGTATCAATTTATTGGAACGATTAATATCAAAAGTGGGCCTGATTTAAATTATTAAACTATTTGACCCAATTTGGTATTAATTTTTGACCAAGTGTTGCGAAATGTTTTTATTAGTTATAATTCTTCGTTAAAATTTGTGTATTTCTGCATTTTGTTCTCTCGTTTGATTTGTTACATATTTATGAACAATTGACGTATTCCGATTCATAAATCTTTGATCGCATCACTGCAAATAAAAGGTTAACTGGGTTAATAGGCAAATGTCGAATCAATTTGGAGCTGTAAGCACCTGTTATTGGCTTGATAACAATAACAAATGATAATTGTGGAAATTGTGGAGTAAATCAAATTGGAAATGTAATAAAAACTTGATGTAAACATGTTAATTCGAGCATTAAGATTGACCATTGTGTGTACTATAATGGGACAGTTGAAACAGATGAGTACATTTCCAGAGATGTTGGCGCCATCGGCTATTAGACCATTTGATCAGATAAATTTTTAAACGGACGTGCTCGCAATAGTAACGAGGCGAACACTAAAAACTCATCTGGCTTGTGTTTTTATACACTGCGAAAATTGAGATTTTGAGTAAAAAATCAGTAACTTTGAACAGCTTACAGCTTAAATTAACAAAAGCGGGGAATTACTCAAAAATTATTAGAAAAAGAAAGATTCAATTCAGTTTTGATTAAAAATGATTCAAGATCTGGTAGATGTCTTAAGCCAAGAAAAGCAGTAAAGAAAATTCAAGATTCGTTAAATTATTACACTATAGAGTATATTTTTTATTGAATTTGGAATTTATTTATTTTTGCTTCATTTGACTACACAGAGCATTCCAAAGTAGTATAATGATAGAGAAAAGTTTATAAAAAAAAATAAAAGTACCTAATTAAAAAAAATATATCCATTATATTGGTAAAAACTTATTTACAAAAATGGCAACGTTGTCTAACGGCACTGCAGTTGAAGAACAGTAAAACTTAATTATTAACTATTTTTAAAACCTCAGTAACAATTTCCTTGGGAAGAAACATTGTAATCATGACGACAATTAAAATTTATACACAGTGTTGTCATATCTGCAAATTGTGAATAAATAATTAAGAAAAAATCAAAAGTTGCTAGATACTGAAAGTAAATGCAAAAACAATTATCCATCATTCATATACAGGCTGTTTCAGAATTTGTGCCCCAGAAAAAAATGCCAAGTAAGATAGGATATCAGGAACATAGAAGAAAATTCTGTCAAAAAAATTTTACATTTGACCTTTTTTATGTTTATTTAATTTTACCGATAATCTTGTATGTTTTTTCATAATTGTTCAGTATACAGGGTGCGCCAGAATTCGTGCTCCAGAACAAAATGCCATGTAAGGTAACATACCAGGAGCATGGAAAAAATGTTAAAAAAATTCTTCCTATAAAAATTTCAAATTTATGAGAGTTTAAATTTTGCACTTTGACTTTATTTGACTTTATTTCCAAGTTTTTTGCTACATGCTTTTAGAAAAAGAAACAAGGAAGTTGTATCCTAAATTGTAACTCTGTTTAATGTTATTTATGGCTTTTATTGTCAAAATTTTTTGCTAAAAGAAATTATTTTAAACATTTTTTCCATGTTTCTGGTAACTTATCTTACTTGAATTTTTTCTCTAGGGCGCAAGTACTGACACACTGTAGCTACAAAAATTTTATCAATAAAAGCCACAATTCACGTTAAAGATGCCTACAATAATTCATGATACCTATATCTTCTTTGTTTCCTCTTCTAATAAACTTCAAAAAAACATGAAAAATTATTTTTCCAACATAAATAAATAAAGTCCAAGTACAAAATTGAAACCCCTATAATTCCAAAATAATTTATAGATAGATTTTTTTTAACATTTGGTTCATGTTACTGTCATCTTGGCATTTTTCTCTAAGTCGCGAGTTCTGAAACACCTGTATAAAACGATTACTTGAAGTAAAATATAAAAACTTGAGAAAATAATATGAAATGAAAAATTTAAGAAAATAAGTTTTTAGTTTCAGATTTGACCTCAGAAAATTTTTCAACATCCCTCTTGTAATTTGCATGTGCTTATTCTTAATAACCACCAATTAGTTGGTGCGTCACTTGTAAATCGCCCTGCATTTTCATAAAAAAAAATGTGAGGATACACGAGTTGCCTCTGTCTTTATGTAATACAACAGAGTGAACTTTGATATCCGGAATTTTAATTAAAACCACTTTTTATTGCTCGATAAAAGGTTGAGAAAACTAATAAATCATGTTGCAATAATTATAGGCAAATCTTTACTATTATGCAAACTGGACAATATTTTTTATCGAACTCTGGGCAAACATTTCATTAATTTTTTTTATCTACTAGGGTGACACACGGAAGTTGTATACAATATTTTTACCAGAATCTATTTTAGAATGTTTTTTTTCAACGAATATTTTACGCGAAGAAATAGACAATTTGTATTTGCTATTTTCTTCCAATTTCGCTAGTTGCGTGCCCGTAATCTTCAACCCGGATTGAAGAAGATGAAAATCTCTCCGTGTTTAGCGCTCGTCGGTTAGTCGCGTGCCCAGACAGAAAGCTCTGTCACCGCCGGAGCGGAGACTTCAACGCTCGCTTATTTTTCCAGACGGGCTGCTGCGAATCGCGAGACCGCTTTTTTCCTCACATTCCTAAATGCCGGAAGTCGCGCGCCAACACATTCATTCGGAAGCCCGACGGGAGGAGAAGGGAAAAAAGGGACACCTAGGCGCCTAAGAGTACGGCGCCATCGGTACCATTGACCTCGTCAGAAAAATGGAATCGCGGACACGACCGATCGATTTACGATCGATATGTGTTACAGGGAGCTCGCCGGAGACACTTTCGACGGACTCAACAGAGTCGTCTTCTTCAGCCTGGCCGATAATCTCCTGGGGAAAGTACCGGAACATTTGTGGAAGAGGATGCCGGGCGTGAGGACCGTCGATTTAGGAAGGACCAAGATCAAGACTCTCTCCGGATCAAGCTTTAAAGTAATTAACTTTTTCTTCTCCTTCAAAGTAAATAACAAAAATGCAATGCATTATATTCATCGTGTTTCGTTATTTCACTTTCATCCAAAATTGATTCGCGTTCTCTTCATTTCCACATCTCAATCTTCTTTCTTTTGGCTTGCAACTTCCTTTTCTTTCTTGTTTCTGAGTGTCCATGGCCCTTCACTCATCTTTTCCACTTCTTCTTTTGAATATTCATTTGTTCCATTTTTTGTTTTTTTTTCTGATTCTGATTTCCTTCCAACATTCTCTTTTTTTCATTTTATCATCAGATTTCCTCAGATTAAGTGTATTCACAAATCTACTTTTATCTTGTCGAAAGAGGCCCTGCTTAAATCCACAAGTTTCTTCTTTTCTTCTTCTTAATTTTCTTGTCGATATGATGTTCTAGAATGTAAACGTTGTGCCTCTTGTCCCTCCTGCAAAACTTCTCTTTCTTCTCGCTTAAAATTTTCTTCTTTCTTTAACACCAGTTTTCGCCAAAAACAATTATTCTTTCAACTGTGATAGTAGTTTCAGATCCATCGTTATTTGTTCCATGAAATCGATTTAAGCGATATCTTCGGTAATTCAACAATTGTTAGTTGTATTTTCTTCTTTTTCATTTTTTAATATTACTTCAGTCTTCACAAGTGGATAAATTCTCTTCATATCTTTACCTCTTCCTGTTCTTCTTCTCTTCGAATCGAAACAAGTAATCCTACTTCTTCAGCTTGTCCTTTATTTCTGTAATTCTATTTATCAGTCTCTCTTCCCTCCGACGATATCACAATCTCTATTCTTGTATACAGGATAAATATAAAGTATGGAACCAAGCGGTTTTATTTTTGATCATTTGCCTCCAGAAAATAATAATTAATATAAATTACGAATAATATAAAAAATGTGATCGTATTTTCAGAACGAAATTTTGTTTTGTTTTT